TAGCTTTTGCACTTCATGTGCAATGCTTTTGCATTGCACCTATTGACGCTATACTTGTAGCGTTTGGAATCTCAGTGACGCCCGAACCAAAACCGCGTCGCGAACCTCGCGCTACGTCACTGCCGCCCCAAGATCGGCGAGCCAACGGGCTGAGCACCTGCTTCCGCCGCCGCGCGGTGTCGCATCGAGTCGAGCTGTCTGTCGGCGAGGCTCTCAAAATAGCCCAGAAGCACTAAACTCGTATTTGAGTATTTTCGCGGATTTCGGACCGGATATCAGCAGAAGCGATGATGACGGAGGGAGGTAAACCATAAGATTCGCAGTCGAAGGCGTCAGAGCGCGACACCGTCCGCTGTGACTCAAATATTTGTACTGGAGAGTGATTTTAAAGTAAAAAAGCAAAATAAGAGCGTGAAAATTGTGTTGGGGTTAGTCGCCACGGACCTCTAGAGTAGTTCCAATAGCGCCCACCACGAGCAGATAGAGCGCGCTGAGCTTTGCCTTCAAATGCGAATTACAAGACAGCAACAGCACTGACAAAACAAAGGCACAAAGATTACGCCCTTTCGGGCATAAATGCTCTTTTATACCCCTTACGGACATAAATTGTTTTCTGCCCTTGCAAAGGACGTAAATGGTATAGAAATTTTAAGAAAAATTTTATTGCCCTTCCAAAAGGCATTAACGATCTACGCCGCTCCAGGGGCGTAAATCTTTTACGCCCTTTAAGGGCATAATTTTAATGCCTTTGTTTCACCAGAGGGTAAAAATGACAACAAGCATACCACCTCGACAGCATTAGTAAATCCAATGATTTGCCATGTATTTGAGCTCCTAGTGCACCGCTAGCCAGGGCGGAGCCACAGTGGGCTAGAAGTCGGTGGAGGCGGCCAAAACTCTAGACGCGTTTTGAGCTCCAGAGTCGCTAAATGGGACTCGAACCGAACGTGTGACCCCACCAATGGACTGCTCTCCGAACGAGGAATCCATTGGTGGGGTCACACGTTCGGTTCGAGGCCCATTTAGCGACTCTGGAGCTCAAAACGCGTCTAGAGTTTTGGCCGCCTCCACCGGCTTCTCGCCCACTGTGCGAGCCAGAGCCCTGAGATCCCGTCAAAGTTTGAGTTCCGGACAACATGGCGTCCACCGGTCAGGGAAGTCAGGGAAAATGTAAAGGGGACTGCTGTCATGGAACTTTGAAAATGATCTGGGGAAAACCAATGTTACGTTCGTGGCGTGATTCGCACATTTAAAGGAGCATAATTTTCCACTGGCAGTGGCTTGAGACTCGATTCCCTCGCTCCAACGCTGCTAAGCGTCAAAATTTCAGGGAAGGCGTTGAAAAAACAAGGGAGAACTTGATTGTTTAGATTCTGAATCAGGGAATTCGGGGAAAGAGAGTATGGTACGAACCTTGAATTGATTTGCAATTCAAGATCCATGTTCAAGAACTCTAAAGAGTATTTCAGAGGAGGCCCAGACCGAAGGTAAAGATGAGCAATCTGTACCGGAAAAAAACCAGTTCACGTGCTTCTTTGCGCCTCAGTGTTAACGTATTTTCGCACAAAAATTACTTGAAATTAACCCAATTGTGCTGCATGAGGTCATTACGCTTCGAAATTAGCTCTTTGTAAATTAGTTTCCGCGACCCCCTCCCTGAAAACCCGTAAATAGAGTGCAAGGCCTCAGGTGTGAAGTGCTTTGAGGCCCGAGCTCCGCCTACTCAGCCACCATTCGCGCTGGACTGTTAGTTGGGTTGCCCACCCTGCCAGTGCAAGGCGCTGCGTGAGTGTGTTAGTTTCTCATCACTGTACTCTACAGATCCAAAAGCATACATTGTACGCTCTAGCTGGAGCATGCCTGCAAGCACGCTGCATTTATTAGTGCATTCATGCCATGATGCAGGCAACTCCCTGTCCCTTATGCACTACACTTTAAATGTCTTACAATGAAATTTGACCTATGTTATTCGTATGTTACAGTAAATTCGGCGCAAGCATAATACGAAGCAATATTCCTTCGTAATACCGTCAAGTCCCCTAAAGTGGGACGATTTTTACGGAAAATCGTCTGTTATTCACAGAATAACGATGACACCGAAAATCGCCGGGGATTTAAGAATCCTCATGTCAAAACACGTCTTTTACCGAAAACAAAAAAAATTTTCAGCCCATGGGGCTCCAGTAGGAGCAGCAAGAACCGTGTCCCAATTTAGGAGCCAAAGTCTCCTAAAGTGGGACAAAGTCCCCTAAAGTGGGACACGTTCATTCTTTTTCGCCCTAAAACTGCAGTAGCAAAAAATTTCATAAAATGTATTACGTTCTAAATTTAATTTGGAGCAAGATTGGTTTTGAAGTCTTTTTCGATATCTCGACTGGTTAAGCAGATATGAGCCTCTTCAATCAATAAGATTTCCATAGATATATTTAAATTAGAAACCACCGTAACGCCTAAACCAATTGAAATACGGCGAAAACCAATAAAACAAAATGGCCTTAAAATTTCATTTCTGACCAAAAACATTTCATGAAATTTTTTGCTCAGGTCGTATTTTAAAAGTTTCGAAATGCACGGCAAGAATTAGAGGTTGAAATTTTGAAATTTTAAAACCGTTCGCCCTGCAACTTTTTTCTAAAACATTATTTGTTCAAAAAATATTTTTACGCAAGGTTTGTTTTAAGGTCGATAACGATATCTTTGTCGGTTAAGCCAAGAGGAAGCATTTGCTTTCAAACATTAACTAAATTTTGTGCTGGCTTAAAGCGTACCGAACCGTACTTGCGCGACTGCCTGGGCCTCCAAACCGACCTGGCAACCTAATATAGGCCAGGCGGCGTTTGTAGGACGCTGGAGGTGAATGCAACGCCTCTGAATCGGTCAAAACATTTAAAAAAACCAAGAAAATTCATGTGTCCCACTTTGCAGCCCCTTAGAAGATTGCTTCCCACCGTAAAACGAAGCACCGGAAACAAATTTTCTAAAGTGCATCTTGTAGATAAAAGAACGCGCTACAACATGTCTGAAGTCTAGAATGGTCCGAGCATCAACGGCTCGAAGCCCCGAATCCGCGCTAGACGTCTGAAAAAACTTCTCTTTTTTTCTGCATCAAATTCCAATTTTCAAGATTTTTTCGGGGAACAAGACACACTCTGCGGATATGGTCTCGGAGGGGTCCTACCGTCTCAAAAACATTTTTTACCTCGCAAAATATCCACGCGTTGGCCGTTTACAGCCTAAAATAGGGAAAATAGTCAAAATGTCCCACTTTAGGGTTCGTGTCCACATTTAGGGGACTTGACGGTACGAATCTTTTTAGCTTTTTCATTGTAAGATACTAAGAAAAACCTTCGTAATACGAAGAAAAACCACCTTCGTATTATGCTTGCGCCATTTCCTTCCTAATATGGGAAATTTCTTCGTAAGACATTTAGAGTGTACGCGGGCAAATTTGTACTCATGAGTACACTAGTGCCCTCGCTCCAACGTCGTTCCAGGAATGAGAATGTCGACGGGCTAAGAGATCCCACTTTGACCAGCGCAAAAGTCGTATTGCCGCACTTTCGGGTCTCAGATGGGTTCTGCTGCCGTCAGGCCAAAGCGTGAGATCTACCAATGACGAAAACTATGTTTAATTGTGTGAGTAAAGTTTCCACTCAATCCAGCCATGATTTTTTACCACTTGCATAGGCAGGCGTTTGTCGCACAAATAGCCTACAGACATGCCTTGTTGCGCCAAGACCTAAGTGGTTGGTCGCGTACAATAAGTGCAAGAAGAGGCAGGCCTCTTGGTCTAAATGGTCCCGCAGGAGGGCTACACACCGAATTCGGTCCACGGGATAACCCCCCCCCCCCACACACACACACACATGCACACACATATTCATTCTCAGTAGCAAGAGACCTGTCCTCGTCCCAAGGTCTTTCTCCTACAGTAATGCATCATCATCAGTGCTGTTAGGCCTGGAGACGGCCAAAACAAAGTTTCGCACACTTTTAAGGGGAGGTTCTACTGAAAATCTTACTTTCTTCAAATTGAGTCCCACTTTGTATGTTCATTGTAAATTTAAAGTATTTTATAGTAAATAGTAAAATATGAAGTTTGGAGGGGAATACCTAGCCCCAAATCCAGTCGAAGAGGAATTTTCTGCTATTTCCAGTCGTATCTTGAAAAATTCTCCTACGCAAAACTTTTCAACGTAAACTGATGTTCTGGGCATTTTTCACTTTTTTGGTTCATAATTGATAAACCGTGGCATTAGTAACATACTGGGACCATTGCAAAATCATAAGCTGTGTTTTCAACACAGCATGTCACTAAAATTTCAAGAAAATAGTCAAAATCCTGATATTTTAGTGTCTTTTTTTCTGATAGGCGGTGCCAAAATAAATTTGTTGGGTCTCATGTCTTGGTGATGCCACGCTTTATTGCATGTGTGCCAAAGAAGTGAAAAATGTCTAGAACATCAGTTTACGTTGAAATACTGTGCGTAGGAGAATTTTTTAAGATATTCCTAAAATAGGCTGAAATAACCTCTTCGACTGGATTTGGAGGAAGGTATTGGGCTCTAAATTTCATGTTTGACTATTAACTATGTAGTACTACACATATGCAACAAATGTTAACACTAGGGCTCAATTTGAAAAGTGCCATTTTTTCAGTAGAACCTCCCCTTAATGTCTTACGAAGGAGTTTCCCACAATACGAAGGAAATGGCGCAAGCATAATACGAAGGTGGTTTGTCTGTGTATCTTACAATGAAAAAGCTGAAAAGATTCGTATTACGAAGGAATATTGCTTCGTATTATGCTTGCGCCGAATTCACTGTAACATACGAATAACATAGGTCAAATTTCATTGAAAGACATTCAGAGTGCAGGTAAATCGGACAATATCATCGCTATCGCTCGAATCTAAATACGAGTCTTCTGAATTATCTTCGTCACTCGCATCCGGTGGGCAGGGTTGCATCAACGGTTCTGGATAGGATGACTCACTCGCGCCAGACGATCACAAGGAGCCCTTATTCCGAGAACCTCTCGCACATTGTGTGGTAGAGCGTTCACTGTGGCAAAGAGGTACGGAAAATTCTGTAATTGTTTTTTCCAAGATTCTCCGTAGCCCTCCTGTTAGTATTGTAGGGCCGTACAGTATTCTCCGTAGGACCGTACAATATTCTTCGTAGGACCTAACAGTTATCTGGAAGACTACGGAGAACACTGTAGGTCCTGCGGAGACTGTACGGTCCTACGTAGAATACTAATAGGAGGGCTACGTACACACTCAATTACTATGTGGGTTTTTCTGCGCGCGAATGCACGAAATTAAACATGCACGAATTTGTGCGCGAGAATGCACGATTTTCTGCATACTTGCGCACAAAATCGTGCATTGTCGCGCACAAGCGTTACGAAGTGCACTCTAAATGTCTTACGAAGAAATTTCCCGTAATACGAAGGAAATGGCGCAAGCATAATACGAAGGTGGTTTTTCTTCGCACGAAGGTTTTTCTTTGTATCTTACAATGAAAAAGCTAAAAAGATTCGTATAACGAAGGAATAATTGCTTCGTATTATGCTTGCGCCGAATTCACTGTAACATACGAATAGCATAGGTCAAATTTCATTGTAAGACATTTAGAGTGTGCATGCTTAATTTCGTGCATTAGCGCGCAGAAAAACCTACATAGTAATTTAATGTGTAGAAGACTGTACGGTCACGGAGAACTCTGTAAGGTCCTACGGAGAAGAGGCCCTTGTCCCTTGAAGACAGGCCAACTCCACGAAGACTTCTTTCCACCAAAAAGAACCACACGTACGCACTCTCACACACTCTAAATGTCTTACAATGAAATTTGACCTATGTTATTCGTATGTTACAGTGAAATCGGCGCAAGCATAATACGAAGCGATATTCCTTCGTAATACGAATCTTTTCAGCTTTTTCATTGTAAGATACAAAGAAAAACCTTCGTAATACGAAGAAAAACCACCTTCGTATTATGCTTGCGCCATTTCCTTCGTATTATGGGAAATTTCTTCGTAAGACATTCAGAGTGCACACCAGAAAGTACTTCCAGCGGCTCTGTTGAATCAGCGACCGACGCAGAGCTGTTTCAAAATGCATCCTGCTTTACTTATGAGAAGAGATAGGACCTTCTGAGAAAAGGCTATGGATTAGAAGTGTTTGGGATAGCAGCACATCGCCTGATTGTGAAATATCGATCCACCCACTCACTTTACGTTGTTATCCGCCATCTCAAGTGGCATTTTCCCCACTGGTAGCCGATTGGGATTTCCAAATAGAAGTTAGTCCGGCGTCAAGGAAGTCACATCACCAGCAGCCCTCTCCGCGCGAAGACACATCCAAGGTGAATTGTGAGCAAAGCTGTACAACGTACATGTTCGAATCAGAACACGAAAGTCACTAGGAATGTGGGCAACGGCCAGGCAACAAGCCGAAAGGACTTTACTCATAAAGTGCATTCTAACGTCGTTTCACACTCTGAATGTCTTACGGTGAAAGGCTGCACCAACATATGAAAGTGAGGATTTTTTCCATTATCCGAATCAAGTTTGACAAAATATCCCAGATGAGATACAATCAATTTTCAAACGTAATTTATAAAGTCAGCCGCATCACCAAAATATTTTAAAAAAATTCCACTATAGTATAGAAAATATTCTCTGTAAGACGACTGTAGACGTGAAAGTCATATACTGTCCACATGGACTAAATGTCTGTTAATTTTTTGGCCTAGATTCTCCGGTGCCCCCTTGTCATTATTCTCCGTAGGACCTTACAGTTTTCTGGAAGACTTAAAGTACAACGGACAATACTGTGAGGTCCACTGGTAAAACTAAGGCGCAGTATTACGCCTCTTTGAAGCGTACTAAAGGCTGGAACGCCCTGCTTCAAGCGTAGAGTTTGTACGCTTGAAGCCAAGCGCACTCAAGCCAGGTCAGAAATTCTTACGCCCTGCTTCAAGCGTTAAGTCAGTACGCTCAATTTCAAGCGTAAAGAAAACCCATGCTCAATTTTACAAGCACAGGAAAATGCGCACATTCATCGTGTGAAACCAGCTCAATTTAATTTAAGGGGGGACCCTGGTGAAAAAATCGCCAAAATTCCAATAAATTGTATTTTTAAAATTCATAAATAAAAATGTGCACAGAACGTTTCAGATTCAACAGGTTGAACACCTTTAAGCTAAGTGGTTAGTTTCTTTATCATTTGGAAGGAAATAACATTGAGATCAGTTGTCGTTGGCTTCTACGCTCAACTTCACAGCTTTGCTCAGTCGACAAAAAATTTTGTCATAGAAAGACTTCCTGCGTTCCTGGTTGACACCTACATGAGTCGTCTTGCATGGACTCTATTCATTGATGACTTGTCGACAAGTTTTAGTGACGGAATCTTGATATCAGCCCTACTTTTTTTAAAACACACCTAAAAGTTTGAAAAAAGGGGAAAAAATCACTTTTTTTATATGTTAAAATTTGAAAACTCATATCTCAGGACAGAAGTTGAATTTGAAAATTCCGTCACTAAAATCTCTTCTATACATCTTGAGGATAACCCAAAAAAATTTTCAAGACTTTCCGTCCCAATGAAAGACGCAGGAAGATTTTTCCCCAACGCTCCAAAAAACACTAAAAAGCCACTTTTCTCAGAGACCGTTCAACATTTTGGATTGAATTTTGTTTTGGGAGCTCACTATAATGAACCTAATAATTAAGCAAAGTTTCAACTTCCTGGGATTATTTTGAAGCCTACTTGAAAGTTTCACCAGGGTCCCCCCTTAAGATAACATCTTAGCTTCATGCATCCTTCAAACAATAAATGTACTTTCAAAGAAAATTACAAAATGTATGAAAATATTCTTGGGGGTCCAAGTCCAAAAAGCCTTTAGGATTCCGCAACACTCCATAAGTTTTTCTACCTTGCACAGTTCCGGCATTCACCTTGAGACACTTACCTTGTAGTGCTATCCATTAATTGTTCCTGCTGGTTTGGTTTTAATGTTTATGATTTGTTTCATACAGTCTCAGACCGCTGGCGCTGGTTTTCATGTTTCCTGATGACATGCTGAAGGCCTAGCCCTACAGACAGACTACATAGCCTCTTGGTGCTGATGGGACAGTTCGATTTTACTCTACTTTCAAGTTTGTGAGTATGTTGTGACTGTGAGCATAAAGATTTCTTTTGGCGACACACTGGGCACAACTTCAAAATGCTTGACATGGTGCAAATGATGAAACTGATCCGTTTGAAATTGTTACTTGTTGCTTTTCACACTCCGGGGTGTGAAAAGCAAAAAATATCTTATTTGCACTCGAGACTGAGGGTGAATAGTCAAGATGTGTGTATGTGTTGACAAACTTTATTTCAAACGGATCAGTTTCATCATTTGCACCATGTCAAGCATTTTGAAGTTGTGCTCAGTGTGTCGCCCAAAGAAATCTTTATGCTCACAGTCACAGCATACAAACTTGAAAGTAGAGTAAAATCGAACTGTCCCATCAGCACCAAGAGGCTATGTAGTCTGTCTGTAGGGCTAGGCCTTCAGCATGTCATCAGGAAACATGAAAACCAGCGCCAGCGGTCTGAGACTGTATGAAACAAATCATAAACATTAAAACCAAACCAGCAGGAACAATTAATGGATAGCACTACAAGGTAAGTGTCTCAAGGTGAATGCCGGAACTGTGCAAGGTAGAAAAACTTATGGAGTGTTGCGGAATCCTAAAGGCTTTTTGGACTTGGACCCCCAAGAATATTTTCATACATTTTGTAATTTTCTTTGAAAGTACATTTATTGTTTGAAGGATGCATGAAGCTAAGATATTATCTTAAATTAAATTGAGCTGGTTTCACACGATGAATGTTCGCATTCTCCTGTGCTTGTAAAATTGAGCATGGATTTTCTTTACGCTTGAAATTGAGCGTACTGACTTTACGCTTGAAGCAGGACGTTAAGAATTTCTGACCTGGCTTGAGTGCGCTTGGCTTCAAGCGTAGTTCTTCTTACGCTTGAAGTCAAGCGCAGGAGTACGCTTCAAGATTTTACGCTTGAGGAAAGGCGTAATACTACGCCTTAGTTTTACCAGTGTCCTACGGAGAATATTGACAAGAGGACTGCGGAGAATGATCTCAAGTTGTTTACAGAAATTTCCGTAGCTTTTTGCTCGAGTTTTCTCTACAGTGTAGATCTCGACATGAACGAAGCGATGTGGTGTCCAGGTCGACATGGCGGTGCTGATCCTCGTTCTGCTGGCGCTCGCTGCTGGAGGACACGCTGCGGTCCTTTCCGGCAACGACGACGAATTGTACGCCGTGCCTGACGGCCTCCTCATCGGCGCCGGAGTGTCTGCGTTCCAGACCGAAGGCGCCTGGAACGAGGAAGGTGGGTCATATCATCACATCATCATAATATCATCATCACATCATTTTCATCTAATACATCATCATCATCGCATACATCATCATCATCATCACCCACCACATACATCATCATCATCATCATCACATACATCATCATCACCACATACTCATAATCATCATCACCACATGCATCATCATCATCACATACATCATCATCACATACATCATCACCATAACGTCATTGTCGTAATGAGGCCACTGCAACTGTCCACGTAATTTTTTGTGCATACCTTCGCAACCGAGCAAACGTTTTGAAGTGCACGGATTCGTGCGTGGCTTAGCATGGAATGTGCACATATGCACTCTAAATGTCTTACGAAGAAATTTCCCATAATACGAAGGAAATGGCGCAAGCATAATACGAAGGTGGTTTTTCTTCGTATTACGAAGGTTTTTCTTTGTATCTTACAATGATAAAGCTAAAAAGATTCGTATTACGAAGGAATATTGCTTCGTATGCTTGCGCCGAATTCACTGTAACATACGAATAACATAGGTCAAATTTCATTGTAAGATATTTAGAGTGTGCAGCACCATGAGAGTTGTTGCGCACGAATTCATGCATTTCACGCTGGTTTTTGTGCACAGCAATGCACGAAAAAAAACTACGTAGTAGTGTAGTGTGCGATGAGGACGCACTTGAAACGTGGACAAGGCTGTCTGGGAAGTTACGACTAATAGTGGTTTCCTAGAAATTCTCAGGAATGCGATGGAAATGTTCTCGCGCTTCAAATTATTGATTTGCTTTAGTTGAAAGAGCACAAGGGGAATGTTTAAGGTTCTTAACATTTAGCAAGGCCGACCTAGGAAAATTGATTTAAGATCCCGCGATCTAACAGGGAAGGCCGAGAGTGCTGCGGACCATCTTTTCCGGACCGGGAACCTGACCAGCATGGTGTGACCAGGGGGTGGAAACGGCGCTGATTTGGCGGGCCATTGCTGCGGCGATGCGTGCACGGCCGTTGTTTGTTGTTTTTTGGTGTCCTAGACCCATTTCTAGAGAGTTTTCCCACAAATCTGCATTTACTTCTGGTATTTGTCTCTTCAGAAAATGCACGTATTAAAAAACCAGAGTGTATGGCATGTTTTAACTTGAAATGGCTCACCGCGTTCGGGAAGTTACGATTTGGCCTGAAATTCTCAGAAAAAATGTACAAGTTCAAATATTAAATTTCTTTTGTAAGAAAGGCCAAGGGCATGTTTAAGGTTTTTTAACCAGTTTTGCAAGCCCGCCCTTTTAGGGAAATTGTTTAAGATCCCGCGGTTAAAGGGAAAGGCAGAGGCGCGGCACCATCGCCGGACCGGCCCCTCACCCGTCCACCCTGGTGTGACCGACCCCCACCTGCAGGACCGAGCAGCCGACTCGTACCACAGGTACAAGGAAGACATCAGAATGGCGGCCGAACTCAAGGTTTGTCAAGTGCTGAAAGTTGACTGCAAGCTAATGATACCGTGGGGGTGTACTGCACGGAAAAAAATCCGTGGTCGTGGCGACCGAATCTCGATCGCCACGACCATCTTCTTCGATAGCTTGGGGGACTACCGGATTTCTGATCGTGAGAACCATGTCACCGAGCTGAAACAAGCTGGCCATCAGAACGACTGTGTTGATTGTGACAACCAAGAATAAGGTATCCTAGAACCGTCGTCCATCAGTTGCAGGGAAGGTATGATTTTAGGGCCTCTTCGAGACGACCAGAAAGTTGGTTGAGAGAACCAACTCATCTGACACTTCAGCCGATATCTCGTTCGTGGGGAATTTCTATGCAACGCTCAGCAGACTCGGTTTCAACTTGGTCTGTGGTCCTCGCAAATGTAGTGCTTCTTACACTGTGATCCGAAACTGGCATCACAATAAAAAATGAATGAGACGGCACAGCGAAGACGCCGCACCGTCGTCCTCTGCCCGAGTGAGCAGAAGACAAGTGATTGGGGATCATGCCTGAACCTAACCTAATGACCGAACGTAGACGCCAGCGAGAGGCAACATGAAAATGCGTTCTTCTCGACTTCAGTGTAATATTTTGTTCAGAACTTTCAGCTGACGGCTAGAGAACATATTTACCGAGGCAACAGACAACATTATTTGCGAAAATTATTTACTTGAGTAATATAAATCGGAAATACTAATAGGCGAACGGGCACGCCGTCACCAAGCGGCAGGTCCGTGAAACCTCGACTCTCAGAACCGAAGTTCCTTGAGCAGAGCGGTCGGTAGTGACGATTGGCTCGGGCCGACCAAGTGGGTTGTAAGAGGATAAATACGCTAGTTGGTTGTCTGAATCAAGCCGTTCGATGCCCACAATCACTGTAACGACAACTGAGAACATCCGATCGTGACGACCAACGGCTTTTTTTCCGTGTGTAATTCAAAGGGTGAGACATCTCACCAATTTTCGGCGATACAAAATGTATCACCGAAAAAGAGGTCGTACACAAATGTATCACCGAAAAATGGTCGTACACGCATGTATCACCGAAAAAAAGGTCGTTCACAAATGTATCATCGAAAAAAAGGTGAGACATCGGCGATTTTGGCCCTTGTTTTCCAGGGGAAGTATCACTCTTTTTTCGGTGATACATTTGTGTACGACCTTTTTTTTTCGGTGATACATTTTAGTATCACCCTTTTTCGGTGAGACAGTTGTCTCACCCCTCAGAGAGTGAGATGTATCACTATTTGGTTTTCAGTGTGTAAACACTCAACGCCTTGTGAACGGTTCCCCCTTTTCCCAGGGAGTCTGCAGACTTTACCACAGCTGTGGTAAGTAAATGTATGGGCGATTTTCAGGGAGTTCCTCGGAAAACCATAAACCGTTTTTACCGTGAGTAGTAGGTCACTCTGTCAGTGACAGCACGCGTAATAGCACGTAACCGTCTTAGCTGCAGTTCTCCAAATTTTACCTATTTTGGGCTGATTAAGCCAAATCCTTGTTATTCAGGCGTCCTGTAAACTGGGGTAACTTCGGACACACGGGGCAATGTCGGACAGGCTTCCTGTCAGCCCGCATGGAAAGCACGAAGCCGCCCCCGTCAGAAGTTATTCCCGACCATAAAGAAACTTCTGACATAGAAAAATTTCCATCAAAGCAGGCTTCCTACCTGAACTTATACCGAGTGTCCGAAGTTCAGTTGACGATAATAGAGCGAGTTTTGGTCACAGATCTTGTCAGTTTGTTTTCTTCGAAACATTTCTTTTTCCAATACTTGTTGTAAATTTCAGTGCAATAGACCTATCATGTGCCCATTTCAAAATGCAACTTCTTTGCTTCTCTTTTCGATTTTAACGTATCTTAACTTATGATCCTTGTTTTCACAAAAATGTTATCAAAAACCATTGAAACTCCGGTCACACTGGAAACTGTGCTCTTAAAACGGACGTGAGACATGCTTAGAGCACAAGTGCCGGCAGTTAAGATTTTATAAATGCATACCTCTGCACAGTGGCCAAAAATTCAATATCTCTGTAATTTGATTGGTCCACAGCTGAAACTGTATCGTTTCTCGTTATCCTGGTCGCGGCTTCTCCCCACTGCCAACGCGGCCGAGCCGAATCCACAGGGCGTCGACTTTTACAGGAACTTTATATCAGAGATTCTCCGCTACAACATGACTCCTCTGGTTTGTAATCTTCATGAAGTACGGAAGTGTATTTCGAGGGGTCCTATTCAAAAGATCTTATCTGGGCGTTCCCCCCAAGACAATCTTATCTTAAACGCCGGCAAATTTCACTCATTTTGAACGATCAGAAAAAATACGACGGTAAGCGAAACATATTTCTACATGCACTTTTGGTTTCTTTGATCTTCCATCTTTAGATTAACTTGAACAAACTCACAAATTATATTGATATGTAGCTGTACCAAATGATCAAACTATGTGAAATTCGCGTGCGTTTAAGATAAGATTGTCTTGGGGGGAACGCCCAGATAAGATCTTTTGAATAGGACCCCTCGATTCGTCTTTAGTGTTCAGAGGGCCAGAAGACCGGGATGCGGTCAAAATCCCGGACGCGTTTTCAGCGCCAGAGGCGCTAAATGGGACTCGACACGCGCACGTGAGACTCACCAATGGATGTCTCTCCGAACGAGGAATCCATTAGTGGGTCAGACATTCGGCTTGAGCCGTGTCCAACGACTCTGGAGCTCAATATACGTCGAGAGTATTGGCTGCCGGCGCCGGTCTTCTGGCGCACTGTGCAGGGGATTTACCCCCCAAAACAAGCCCCTTTGCTGTGGGAGCACTGAGAATGAAAAAGTCATGATCAATACCCAATTTTGGGCGAGGTTTACTTTCTCACCCAAATTTGGGCGAGGAAAGTTTCCTCACCCAATTTGGGCGAGGAAAGTATCCTCGCCCAATTTTGGGTGAGGAAGGGTGTATCAGCTCCCTATATAGCTCCATTGTATTATGACCCAAATTTGGGTGAGGAAACTTTCCTCACCCAAATTTGGGCGAGGAAAATTTCCTCACCCAAATTTGGGTAATAAAGAATTCCTCACCCAAAATTTTAGTCATGATCATGACTCTTTCATTCTCAGTGAGCTGGCTTGCTGTCGGTTCAAGCAGTACTACTTCTTGATTCTTCAACATTCGACTTCAAATCATATTATCGAGGGGGTAACCACTCGCGTAATACCCTGTACACAAAAACCGTGTATTACGCGTAATACACGTGGTCGTAATACCTTTTTCGGGTCAAATGTGACAAATTTTTGCATTTTAAGGCCGTAATACACGTGTAATACCTCCGTAATACAGCGTAATACCGAGTAGTCTGTACACGATTTCTTGAAGTGTTTACCCCCTCGCATATTATCAGTCAATGCTCCGACTTCAATCCATTCGGGCAAAAAATTAAAAAAATACCCCCGAACCTTTTTTTTAGACTTTATTTAAAGTGTAACTGTAATCTTGCATCATTAACGTAGCCATTTCTCCGCAGGCAACATTGTACCACTTCGATCATCCCCAAATACTCGAGGACCAATTCCATGGATGGCAGTCGCCTCAGATGGTGGTCAAATTTAAGGAGTACGCTGAGTTCGTGTTTAAAGAGTTCGGGTCAATGGTAAAGTATAAAACTTTTTCGACAGCTTGATTTCAGCAACTTATCTTTATCTAAAGGGATTTTGTCGAGGTCAATTTTGTTACCTGTTAAATTTTGATCTTCCTTCACCTTCAATCGACATTGTATGTATCAATATTCATTGACGTTTCTGCGCCAATAGAGTTTTGTTTAGAAGCTAAACAGATTTGTCAAGACAAGATTCATTAAAAAGTTTGTAAAACAGTTGAAAATGTTACAGTCGCTTACTAATGCGCACACAGTAAAAACTCTGCGAAGAACCGCTCTGTAATACGAAGAAAATGAAGGCATTGTAAAATCTACGAAGAAATGCTTCGTATTACAAAGCAAAATCCTTCGTAAGACGAAGCATTTCTTCATAATACAAAGCAATTCTGCAATGCCTTCATTTTCTTTGTAGTTATGCTTCGTAGGCTTTTTAGAGTGCACAATTGCTAATACGTTGTTTTAAAAAACCTCAGAACAAGTAGTGTTAATTCAATATCTAATGACCTAGTTTCAACGACGTTCGACTACACTACGATGGTCAAATTAAACTCGTGCAGTGCGCTATCAGTGCACGAATTGGTTTCAAAATTTTCGCTGTTGCACAACAAAAGACGGTTTGGTCGTCTTTTTAAAAACAGAGCTTGCTCGCTTGGTTGCTCAAAATAAGATTGTGAAATCCTAGCAAATACTGCCGAAACCACCTCAGAGTCAGGGTGCACCTTGGTGCAGGGAAAATCAAATTATTAACAATTACAAATTGCAACAATAACAATTTATTTATTGCTGCGATATTGGCCTGTTACTTAGGTTCCGTTGTGGGTGACACTCAACGAGCCCAACATGTACTGCAGCTACTTCCCGTCCATGTTCATCGCCGGGGGACTTTACAAACCAGAGGACCAGAACTGGTACTCGTGCATCCGACACGCCATCCTTGGCCACGCGGAGGCCTACCACGCCTTCAAGGCCGCCCGGCTCCAGGGTACGTTCATAAGCACGTCTCCGAAATGTCAGATTGAGTCACTCCGGATCTTGATGCACAGTGGACGCAGCTGGTGAAGGCGGTCAAAATACCGGCCGCAATTTGAGCTCCAAAGTGGCTAAATGGGACACGAACCGACCGAACGTGTGACCCCACCAATGCATTGCTCTCGGACCGAAGAATCCATGGGTGGAGTCACACGCACGGTTCGAGTCCTGTTCATCCACTGGAGCTCAAAACGCCTCTTGAAATTTGCCGGCCGGCGCCGATCTTCTGACCCACTGTGTGCTGCTCTTTTTAGTGCCAGCCCTCAGCTGCACCAGGATGCCCCACTTACCCCTTTTTGCAAAACATTAATTCAATGCACTACGTGGTGCAGGTCAGATAGGCTTCTCTGCGGTCCTCATGACCGGGTACCCGAACACGACACGTGCGGAGGATGTCTACGCCGCCGCCGCCTACAACTCACTGCAAGCCGGCGTGGTTCTTGATCCGGTGGTGTATGGAGACTACTCGCAGGTATTGTAGTTTTATATCCACTCAGCACTGCAAAGCCGGTGGTAAGTTTACAATGCAAATCCAAGTGTAGGACAGGTCGACACTTTAAAGCGTAGACCAGTTTGTCCTACGCTTGCAAGTGTCGACCACTTGTGTCCGACGCTTTGAAGTGTCGACCACTCAGTGTTCGACGCCTGCAAGTGTCGACCATAGCATGTCCGACGACCGAAGTGTGGGGCCACAATAGGAAACTCAGTGTAATTTGCCGTAGGACAAACAGTGACCTACACATGCAGGCGTCGGACAGAGTGTGGTCGACACTTCAAAGCGTCGGACACAGCTGGTCGACACTTGCAAGCGTAGGACAAACTGGTCTACGCCTTAAAGTGTCGACCTGTCCTACACTTGGATTTGCAGTGTACTTGCCGAAAACTTGGCAAGCCGTTTTAAATGCCAAAAATTCGCAAGCTTCGCCCGGAAGTACTCCCCAGCTATTGCCAAAATTTGGCAAGCTTATGAAGATTGCCGACCAAAGCTTGCCAAATTTGGCATTCAAAACGGCTTGCCAAATTTGTGGCAAGGGTCATTCCATATAAGATTTACACAGATCTGGGCGACCATTGACGATTTCGACCAAATTTGGCACGAAGGTAGCCCTAGGGGTCAGGAACATGCCCATAAATTTTTAGGTCGATATCTCAAGTGGTTTGGTCAGAATCGGCATTTTAATTTTTTACTTTTAAAAAAATTGTAATTTCTTCAAAATGGCTCTAAAAGGCCATTTTTTGTCGGATTTTCATGCGGTAAAGCTATTCCGACGTAAAATGCGACGAGGAATCCGAATCTGCCCTCAGATTTGGTCTAGCGTGATTACCAGGGGAGTAAATTGCGAAAAACATGAAAATGAAGCCTTATTTCACGAGCCTGTCTACCCTAGTAGAAAATCCAAATCTGCACTTCCGAACAGGCTAAATTGTAGTTCATTTCATGGGCTTTCCATATCTGTATTCAAAAATAGTGGGTGTGGCCCTCCCTTAGGAGCTGTAGGCCGCAATAAACAACTCTGCACCAAAAATTTTTACTAAATAAAAAACACATTTTCGAGCTTTGAAGCTCAGGGGGTTTTAGCTACACTCGTGCCGCTTAAAACCCTTCAAAGGGAATTTTGAGACGAATCCAACGGGACCAATATGAGCCCGATCGGGTAAGTGGATCCCAAAAGCGCCCAAATGCCGCTAAAATTCAAAAATTTTCACTAGATGTTTTTCCAATTAAGAAAGTAAGTAAACGGCAGCATTTTAACTTGTCAAATGTGTACTCATTTACTCAAAATTTCATAAGCTTTCGATTGGTATATAGAAAAAAGGGGGTTTTGTCCTCTAAACACAAGATTTCTCAAATTTTTCTCAAGCTATGCACGCGAATCGGCTCAGACGCCCCGTGCAGGTAGGCAGCCCATCCGGCGCGCAGGCTTTCCGTCTGTTTGGGGTTGTTTGGCTGTACCCGCCCCATCCCTCGCCACCCCGCCCCCCCCCCCCCCCCCTCTCCGGGCCCCACCCCGCCCAACCCCTCACCCCCCCCCACCCCCTCACCCCACCCCACCCCACCCCCCCCCCACCCCCCCCCGCCACCGCACTCCGCACCTTCAACTCCTTCGGCGTTTAGGCTTCCGCGTCCATCTCCCGGCCGGCAGTCTCTTGGAGTGTCTAGCTTTGTTGTTGCTTGTCGATATTGTTTTCACAACATATAAAAATTTCAACTAGCGTACCTCGTCTGGGGACCAGCAGCAGGGGTACCGTCATGGATCGAGGTATGTGTCTGTGTACACCTCTACTCCTAGGTTATGGTGTCTTTGTTGTTGTTTTGTCTCAGTGATTTTCTTTGCTTTTTTGGCTCTTTCCTCTCATTGAATTTTAATAAGCTCTCTTTGGTCTTAAGGGGGGGCCCTGGTGAAAAAAAAGCCAAAATTCCAAAAAATAGTATTTTAAAGTTCATAGATAAAATGTGTATAGAAGGTTTCAGATTCAACAGGTTGAACCCTTTAAGCTAAGTGGGTAGTTTCTTTATCATTTGGAAGGAAATAACATAGAGATCAGTTGTCGTTGGCTTCTATGCTCAACTTCACAGCTTTGCTCAGTCGACAAAAAATTTTGTCGTAGAAAGACTTTCTGCGTTCCTGGTTGACACCTACATGAGTCGTCTTGCATGAACTCTATTCATTGATGACTTGTCGACAAATTTTAGTGACGGAATCTTGATATCAGCCCTACTGTTTTTTAAACACACCTATAAGCTTGAAAAAGGAGATTCTGTCACTAAAATTTGTGACAGGCTCGTGAAATAAGGCTTCATTTTCATGTTTTTCACAATTTACTCCCCTGGTAATCACGCTAGACCAAATCTGAGGGCAGATTCGGATTCCTCGTCGCATTTTACGTCGGAATAGCTTTACCGCATGAAAATCCGACAAAAAATGGCCTTTTAGAGCCATTTTGAAGAAATTACAAATTTTTTAAGAGTAAAAAATTAAAATGCCGATTCTGACCAAACCACTTGAGATATCGACCTAAAAATTTATGGGCATGTTCCTGACCCCTAGGGCTACCTTCGTGCCAAATTTGGTCGAAATCGTCAATGGTCGCCCAGATCCGTGTAAATCTTATATGGAATGACCCGCAAGCAAACTTACCACTGGCTTTGCAGCGAGTGGAGAGGATACATTTTACGCCAGAGCTCTCAAAAAACGGCTCCGCAGGCCGGCCGCCGAGGCCGCACGCGGCCTGTGGTGGGCCGCTGGCGAGCGACCCTGCGCCTGAACGGACAGTGCCGGACTTGTCCGCATGAGGTGAGGGCGCCACGTCTCGGCCACCTCCCGGCTCCCTCGGTCGCATCCGTGAACCCTATTGGCTGCCGGCAGCCGCACTGTTAGGGATTTTGTTGTAAAATAACGAGTAATTCCCTGTTAATTCCATAGGACAAATCGTTCGTAAGTTAATGAGTACAGTCGTTATAATTCAAATCTTCAACCATATTATTTTCAGGTTGGTCTTGGTTTGCCTCGACGAAAAAACGTGAAAATAGAACTAATAATGTACCTTGAAAATTTTACGACTTTCTTTGTAAATTTACGATGTTTCCTTGTTAAATTACGATTTTTCGTGGTAATTTAACAAACTTTTGTAATTTTACGAACAATTTGTCCTACAGAATTAACAGGGAATTACTCGTTAATTTACAATCAAACTTGTAAAATTACGATAATGCTTGTAATATGACAACTTTCGTTCGTCAAATGACGACATTCTTCGTAAAATTACAGCTTTAGTTCGTAATTTTACAAGGTTAACCGTAAAAATGTGTGTAAAATTGTGAAATTTCCCTTTGTATTTAGCCAATAACGAATACGTTCGTAAAATTACGAGTTTATGTTGTAAAATTACGATGGTATTCATGTAAAATAAAGTTGTAAAAATACGACTTCCTACAGTGCGGCCTCGTGAGGCCGACGCGCGGCCTGCAGCAGGCCGCAGCGGTCGGCCTGGCCTGACGAGGCCGCGACCGAGCCGTCCCAGCGGCCTGTCCCCTGCGTGCTGAGGCCGCACCGCGGCCTGTTCGGCCGGCCTCAGAGGCCGCTTTTTGAGAGCTCTGTTTTACGCGTTGAGAGAGGATCGTCCAATTTCGACAAGGGTTAAGGGAGTGACGTCCGCTGAAGACCTCGATGCTTGTTGGTTTGGGCGGGTTGTAGTTGGGGTCTCCTAAAATGAGGTAATAAAAAGTATCGAATAACGCTCAAGGATGAAGGGACGTTCCCCTCAAACCACCATTTCGCGAAATAAATACGCTCTCAGCACGTTACTGACTTTTTACTCATCAATAACGTATTCGTTTAAAGCAACAAAAATACTTGTTATTTTCTGAGTAAGTGTGACTCATTTCTTTTGTAAAATTATGTACAAAACCACATTGTCAGTACATTATTTAGTATTTCCCAAGTAGTTCTTTTAAAAGGTAAAATTACGAATTATGGTTGCACAAATTACTTGCATAAGTACCGGTAAAATGAGCAAAAAGTCAGTAATGAGCTGAAAGTGCAGAGCGAAATTGGCCGGAGAAGGGTCTTTTAGAATCACATAAAACTTCTCAAAATCATATCATCCCGCGTTCATATGTACACGAAAATGGGAAAATGTGGCACCCTCTTATAAAATAGTTAGAAATATGACATCTTTCCCTTTTTCCTCTAGTTGACCAAGGAAATCCTGGGATCCAAACTAGTGCCGTTCTCAGAGGAAGAGAAAAAATTGATTAAAGGTGAGTATCGTTCTAAATACAACTTGCCTAGCCGCACATAGAACTTAAGTCTGAACACTCCCAATTTCCTACTGAGCTTTTCCTTCGTAATACGAACAAAAAGCTTATTAGTGTAATGACTGCACAGCGAAGGTAGTAACCTATGGTGAAGAGTTCTCAGTATCTTATTACCAACTTCTTCATATTACGAACGAATTTCTCTGCATTATGACAGATTTGTGTCGTAAAGTACTGAAAATTAGCTCAGTATTATGACTGCACGGCATTTCTCAGTAGGAAATTGTTAGTACAATCCCGTTCTTCTTCTACTTTGGACTGAAGTTCTCTAAGCAACGAGTTCACGGAGAAACCAAACGCAGAGTCCAGACGGAATACTGTGGTCAAAAGGTTGGCGATTTGACAGCGTTTACAGTGTGGTCAAGTCACAAACGCGCTTGAGCTTACCCGGGCCCTTTCTTCGGATAGTGATTGTGCAAACGCGAAAGCTCCGAGTTTGTCGCATGTCGTCCGGGTTAGGTGCTCGCACTCCGCACACCGTGTGGTTTCTCGCGTCGCATCTTCTAGACAAATCGTAACATTGCCAAGTAGGGTAAACAAGTGCTGCTGTGCTGTATGTAGACCACATGACACGAATAGTTTTGACGTTTCAAGATGCGAGTGGAGTATACACACACCACTCGAGGACTCTAGCCTGGTGAAGTGCTGACTCAATTAGTCTTTGAATGCCCTCAGGATCAACGGACTTCCTTGGCTACAACATTTACGATGGAGGTTCAGTGAGCTGGCAGAATCCGAACGCCAGCAGTGGTGATCCAACCCCATTCAATGGTTCGCCACTTCAAGAAGTGAGGTTTTTCATCACCCAGCGGTCAAAGTCACTCGTAAGTGCGATGACGGCGAAGAAAAGCCGAGGGGGCAACCACATTGGATGTTTGGGGATACAAGATATCTTCAGGCTACAGATTTCATCGGATTTCGCAAGATCTTAACCGTTATTCCGCTCAAAGTCAGCTTGTTTTTGGCCTTTTGGGGGGCAAGATTTCAGATTTCCCAGAGATTTCTAGCACTAAGGGGACACAAGATTTCTAGAGTGGTTGCCCCCTCGAGAAAAGCAGATCCCCGTTTAAGGGAACCTGTAATATTTAGTGCGGGCCAGTCTAAGCACGCTGATATCGGTAAATGTTGCGAGTAGTCCCTTTACTACTGTTGCGTTATCGGTTCTTTACTGGAACACATCCGGTTGCATCTCAAAAGCGTGAAGTCTCACTCCATTTACTTTTGTTGGCCATTTAACAAATACCTTGCACCTTTTGAACGATCCTGGTTTTCCTTTGGACTCCCTTGAAATCGGCCATGCTTTTACTACAGGCCATACCTGTGAAAACAGGAACCATTTTGCCGTGTCCCCTGAATAAGAAACGAACATATTTTTAACATCGTGTGCACTCTTAAAAGCCTACGAAGCATTTGCTTCAATGAAAATGAAGGCAGTGTAGAATTGCTTTGTATTTTGAAGAAATGCATCGTATTACGAAGGATTTTGCTACATAATACGAAGCATTTCTTCGTAGATTTTACAATGCCTTTATTTTCTTCGTATTACGAAGAGATTCTTCGTAGAGTTTTTACTGTGTGAACGATGCGTGGGTAAACGTTTTAATATAATTTATTCTTTCCAGATTGACTTTTACGCGATACGGGAATGCGTTGTGTGGGCCTGGACCAACTACAGAGTGCCCGTATTGATCACAGAGAATGGCATCGGGAGAAATGACATCAAAGCGGCGTACCACAGTGTGAGTATCTTTCGGGGCCTCGTCACTGAGAACACGGAAAATGTATGAAACAGAACTCGAACCGAACGTGTGACCCCACCAATGGATTCGTCGATCGGAGCGCAATCCATTGGTGGGGTCACACGTTCGATTCTAGTCCCATTTAACGACTCAGGAGCTCAAAACGCGTTCGGAGTTTTGGCTGCCTCCACCGGTCTCCTGGCCCACTGTGCCCCGGAACAATGATACAACCTTTCGCCGCAGGCCTACCTTCGCATGCTGGTGAAGACGGTCAAGGAGTTCGATATCAAAGTGATTGGATACACTGCGTGGAGTCTCATCGACGCGTTCGAGTTTACCGGTGGATTCACGTGAGTACCGATGAATAAATTTGAGATGCTTGAAGAAAGTAGGCTACAATCAACAAATATGACGTCATCATATTCGTTGGAATGCGAACTTTTTCAAACGCGTTCGTTTGAGTATGATGCCTCATTCGTTTATTTAAATAATGATCCACGCTCAAACGAACTCACTACAAACCTACACTCTCATCTCAGGAACGTGACATCACGTTGAAACGAACGTGACAAGATGTCACGTTCGTTTGAGCATTGAGTCATATTCGTTTGAGTGTGAATTGGCCAAAAATCAGCTTGTTCACATTCTAACGAACGTGACACAATGCTCAAACGAACCTGACATCTTGTCACGTTCGTTTCAACGTGATGTCACGTTCCTGGAATGAGGGTGTAACTGTCTATTAACTTAACACTTTCAAAAGCATGCTACGCGCCGCACAACTATATGCTACTACGCATAGAAAATTGGAAGTGTATACTTGGCCAAGTATGCGTTTGCTTGCAGTTAACTTGCACTCGCTCCAAGACTCGGTCGGCACGTTACTGGCTTTTTGCTCATTTTGTCAGTACCTATTCATGTAATTTGTGCAACCATAATACATACTTTTCGACTTTTGAATAAGTACTTAGGAATCATTGAATAATGTACTGACTTGGTTGTGTAAATGGTTTTACTTAGTATTTTCTAAGTAAGTAAGACTGATTTCCTAAGTATTATCCTTGCAGAAACGTGCTGAGGGTGTGGTCAACAGATAAGCTTGTACTAGTATGTGGCATCGTAGTTGGGCGGGAATAAAAGTTGTATGTGCTTAAAACTGCAACGCGTGGGACAATTATGTCCCATAACATAAAGTGTTCATTGCCTTGGAAATAAGTTTATTATCAGCACAGTAAAAACTCTACGAAGAATCGCTTCGTAATATGAAGAAAATGAAGGCATTGTAAAATCTACGAAGAAATGCGCCGTATTATGAAGCAAAATCCTTCGCAATACGAAGGATTTCTTCATAACACGAAACAATTCTACAATGCCTTCATTTTCTTTGTAGTTATGAAGCAAATGCTTCGTAGGCTTTTAAGAGTGAGTGTTGGAATAACAGTGTTCCCACGATTGATTTTATCCAGGCGACCGTACGGACTGATCCACGTCGATTACGAAAACGGAACTCTGGAACGGAGCCACAAAGACTCGGCCTCCTTCTGGATCGAAATGGCAGACACAGGCAACGTCCCTCTTGTGAACCTGCCGTCGTCGGCGACCGCCTCCTGCGTATCCATCCTGCTGTTGTGTGCATCACTGGTTTTCACTTCAATTTTATAACCCTTGCAAGATCTGTAATTTGCGAGGGGGCAACCACTCTAGAAATCTTGTGTCCCCTTAGTGCTAGAAATCTCTGGGAAATATAAAATCTTGCCCCCCTAAAGGCCAAAAACAAGCTAATTTTGAGCGGAATAACGGGTAAAATCTTGCGAAATTCGACGAAATCTTTAGCCCGAAGAAATCTTGTGTCCCCAAACATCCTATGTGGTTGCCTTCTCGGTAATTTGCTCCGTCTTGTCTACCCTGTTCGTTGCAGCTTGAGCTTTTTCAGTGCCCACTGTGAAACAAGTTTGCAATTTTCAAAGCAATTTTGATGAGAATGTGCCGAACTCGTGTATGAATTATACTAAACATTGCAAAATTCATAACTGGATGAAAAATCACAAGTCTCCAATATCGAGTGCAGACGATCGTATTATTCCGAATCCGATAGTAAATTTCATAACTGGCTCAGGCGTGGCAACGGGGTGCGTGCAAGAGTCACCAGGTAGCTGACTGACCCACTCCACTTCTGCTACCGTGGGGCGGGGTTGCACTGCGGTGGAGAACGTACACCACATGTCAAAGATCCCGGATTCGAAACCGGATAAGCATAAAAGTAATCGAATTTGATTGATGTAATATGTTTGGGTATGACAGGTATGACATACCCGGTATGTGTTTATGTACTTGTAATTGTTTTGCTTTACTGCCCTGGAACGACTTCAGATATCAAGTTTCATAAAATAAAAAGATTAACAATTATTTGAGGTTTTAATTAACATAACAATTGGTTGTGATAAAAAAGGCAACCGATATAATGAAAATTGACACTGGTTTTTCAAACAGTGTAGTACCTTCATCAAATTGTCTGCATTAAAAACAGGAAAAGTGGCGTTGCAAATCGTCAACTTAATTCCGTCCGAACATTTTAAGCATGCACACTTAGAACCCTACAAAGAACTGCTCGTTGTAATACAAAGAAAAAGGATGCTTTGCAGCCTACGGAGGAAATCGTTGGGCACACGATGGAAGTAGTTTCAAGACGATTGGGTGAAGTTTTGATGTCGCTTTCTCCATTTAACGTATTTTTTTTTTTTCAGAAAAAAAGCTGTTTCCAAAATAGCCCATCTTCGATTTTGATGTGACTTCCCTCACATGATCCTCACACATATTGAAAGAAAATCCTGAAAGGATTTGGTCGGCCCTCCGTAAGTTTTTTATTTGCATAAGAGACGATGTCAACTCCATGTCAAAAAGGGAAATGTAAAATCACCCTTGTTTAACTGTTCAGATCTATAACAAGTTACCCATGGAAATTGCAAGTGTTCAGAAGGACGAGAAATTTAAAAAGGAACTAAAAAAGTGGCTTGTTGAACAAGAAATTCGTAAATTGAGTAAATTTCTCCAATGAGAAGACAAGTGTAAGATGTGACGATTCTATGTACCATTTTGTACCACAACAGAAGATAATAAAATAATAATAATCATTTTGGCCGTTTTTCTTGAATTCTCGAACCAACTTTCTGAGTTGCGTCCAAGCTTATGTCCCGCGAGGAAATAAATTTTGTCTTGTCGAGACGAATCCATTGATATATAGAAAAGTAATTTTGGACAATTTTAAAAATTCCACCCTATTTCAGTATGAGAGAAACTAGGGTAAATTTTCAAAATTGTCCAAAATGACTTTTCTTTTATTTATCAATGGATTCGTCTCAACAAGACAGAATTTATTTCCTCACGGGACATAAGCTTGGACGCAAACTCAGAAAGTTGGTTCGAGAATTCAAGAAAAACGGCCAAAATGATACATCGTCTCTTATGCCAATAAAAAACTTACGCTGGGCCGACCAAATCCTTTCAGGATTTTCTTTCAATATGTGAGAGGATCATGTGAGGAAAGTCACATCGAAATCGAAGATGAGCTGTTTTAGAAACAGCGATTTTTCTGAAAAAACTTACGTTAAATGGAGAAAGCTACATCAAAACTTCACCCAATCGTCTCGAAACTATTTCCATCAAGTTCCCCAGCTCTTTTTACGTAAAGAACCATTGTCGGAAATAATCTAGAAACTTTCAGTAAGTACGGAGAAAAATAAAGGAAATATCATGATTCTGACCAAAGTGAAAACTTCGCTATGTTATTACAGCCAAACGGGGTGAGATATCGCAAAGCCCTTTGACATGGGATCTTTTCTTATTGACCCCTACACCTAAAAAAAAGTTTCATTCAAATCGAAGAGACGAAATTCCAAGAGTTCGTTGGTTTCGCATGGAATCGCCCAGGAGCGACGAAAGGACTCATCTGAATCACACGGCAGAAAGTAGGGGACTGTAAACTTAAACCATGCGCATGGATGCTTGCTTGCATGCATGGGAGGCGGATCGCTACGGAATCCACTCAGAAGGCTATTGTTTCCATCTGGCATGATCCAAGAAGAAGTGTTTAGCCCTTAGAAATGTGTCAGACTTGACAACAGTGCTTTTAAAGTGGCATTTTCAGCGCGACGCACCGATGCTTGCTTGCTTGCATGCGTGCACGCATTCCCGGCCTGTCGCTAGAGCTCTTCCACACTGTCCTTTATCTTGGATGCCAATATGTTTGGAGCATTATTATGTGACAAAAAGTCATTCTAACTCCTGACGGATGAGAACAACACCTTTCTATATGGATTCCGTGGCGATAACTTTACAGACCCCTAGGACCGTCTATGCACCACCTATCGCACTTTGGAGCTCACGGTGAAAACGGGACCGGGTTTTCCCAGGAATCCTGATAGAGACATAGACGATTTGCACAGGGAGTTCTTTGCGAAAACCAGGTTCCGTTTGTACCGCGTATTGATCCCCACCCCGATGCAACGCGGCGTTACGTTGGGCGAGAACCCCCACACACGCTCTCATTGCGTAAACGTTAGCCGAAATTTCTCACGTTAACACTGTTTTACCCTTCGTTACTAACTGAACGTCTGAAACGTACTCATTCATTTCATATATTTAGCGTAACGTTACGCTGGCTCTGGCCCCCCTCCCCTCCCCCCCTTCTGCAGCGTTACGGGGGCGGATGCGCCGCTGTGCTTGGCGTTACTTTAATAGCAATCCCCTAACTATGCAACTATGCTGGTACTTTCCCCCCACAAGGGTTGAGTGAAACGACGGTTGTCATACTGCCACCGAAGCGACGATCACCCTCAATAACTTCTGGACGTCCCTAGTCCTTCGTTCCACCCCCGAAGCCGACGTAGTCACTCGTCAGAAGTTTAGTCCTCCTCCCGAAAATAATACTAGTCACCACCAACCACTGTTACTGTTGTCTTGGAAGGTTGGCTACACAACGTTTGGATAGACAGTACAGCTTACTGTGAACCAACTGGATGACCTCAGAACGAGACGGCTGCCAAGGAAGCTACCCGGACCTGCAACGCTGGGGTAAGTAAGGCCATTTCAACCGTTTCCTATCGTTCTCCTCTGCAGGCACTCTCAACAGCTTACGAAGCATTTGCTTCACAACTACAAAGAAAATGGAGGCATAGTAGAATTGCTTCGTATTATGAAGAAATGCTTCGTATTGCGAAGGGTTTTGCTTCATAATACGAAGCATTTCTTCGTAGATTTTATAATGCCTTCATTTTCTTCGTATTACGAAGCGATTCTTCGAAGAGTTTTTACTGTGAGGCGTACTGATTTCGTCACGCTCCGCTCGACAGGGTGCTCCACTGAATCGCGCAACGTAGGATGATCACTGAGGCAGATCAGGTACTCCCAAGAAGCTCTGGCCGGAAGAAGAAGAACTGCCAGTTTTTCTCATAGAAACTGCAATTTCTCACTCCGTTTTTGTTCTTCTTCCGGGCCAGTTGAAGTACTCTATTCTATGAAACAGCTCTTCCGCGTGCTAAGACCACCCGGTGCGCATGCACTTCCACAATCCCACTTAGCTTTTTCTTCGTATTTTCGTATTACGTTGTAACAGCTTTGTGTTCAAACTACGGAGGGAGGTTAGTAACCTATGCTGAAGAGTTCTCAGTTGGTTATGACCGATTTCTTCATGTTACGAACAAATTTTTCTTTATTACGACAGATTTGCGTCGTAAAGTACTGACAATAGGTTACTTTCGTAGATCCTGAACCGGAAGCAAACAGGCGCCATGTTGGCGGAAGTAGATCAAAACTTGACATGGGAAAGAGACGATAGTCAAATGTATCGGCCACACTTCAACTATAATGGTCGTATGATACTTCTTTGCAGTGCATTTGTGTCCCTCGGGCAATATTTGTACAGCCTGGTTCCCTTTGGAGATCCCAAGAGAGGTTAGGTTCCGGCCAATATGGCGTCTGCTTGCTTCCGGTTCAGGATCCACGAAAGTACCCTATTAGCTCAGATTTATGACTGCATAGCATTTCAGTAGGTAATCCATTGGTGAGGACACACGTTCGATTCGATTGCCATTTAGCTACTCTGGAGGTCAATACGCGTCCGGTATTTTGACCCCCTCCACCGGGCCCACTGTGCGCGCGACCGCTGCTGAGCAGTGCGTAGGATGCAATTCATCCTCTCATTGCGGGGAACATTCGCGTGCCTTGGACTTATTTTTATACCTGGGTACACCTCTCTGCGCTGTCATGTGTGCTCGTCAAACATACCCTGACCTTATCTCACGTGTGACTTGTTATGCCCACTGAGGTAACGCTATGCTGAGCCATCAGCGCGTGAAAATTTACCTGTATTGTACTTTTTCTTTCCGTCCGACGAGGTCAGTAAGATACAAACACACTCAGCTCGTTGCTGACTTTTTCCTCATTATATACCCATTCGCTAGCAAGGTAAATGTCTATCATGTATTGAGTGAATTTTGTGAATGCGCCAAGCTTTAACGTAGTTAATATTTTTATTTACACAATTTTACGTTGAATTACGCATCAATTTATGAGTTGCTCTTTATTAAAAGTACGTATTATGTTTACACTAATTACTTGCGTAACTCAAATTGAGCAGAGGTCATTAAACCTGACAGTCATCCAAGGTAACTTTTGAAATAAGTAACAAATAATTTCTAGATCTCGGGAGAACTCCGCTCTGACCCTTTACGCTTCTCTGAATTTGGCCTCTGTAAGGTCTGAAAGACGCAACACACTCAGCTCGTTACTGAGTTAGGGCAAAGAAACCGCCGGAAGCCGCTCAAATTGCTGCTGTTGGAGGAATCTGCCATGGACTCGATTCAAGATACTCTCAGACTCGTACATAGAGTTTGGTGAATAACCTCCTCACATTTGTGTGGATTAATGAGCATTTAACATTTTAATTTGTTTACATACATTCTGTAGGAGTCTGCACTGTTAAGAGAAGTCGTTATTTTACAATAGTAATCTCAACAATAATCCCGAACAGTGTGAGAGTGTAACCACATCAAGAGTCGAGTCTATAGGTTCGGCATGGGTGATTCCTCCAACAGCAGCAATTTGAGCGGTTTCCCTAACCGACAACAGCCTGCATGTCTCATAAGGGGGTGTGGAAAGGATTCCGTCAAGCACGCGCCATGTCGGACGTCAGTATAGAAGTCCTTTTCTTCCTCTTCATTCAAATACAAAAATAAAATTTAATAAACCCAATTCCATAAATTTTAAAAAAGTTGTTATTAGTTTTAAGAGGAGAAAGTTCCTTACTGCTCATAGCAAAAATTTTTCTAATCTGCTTCACAAAATAGTGTCTTAAATTTTTTTGCCTTGGCTACCATGTTAAAGGTCTTCTATCTTTCTGTCAACAGATCAGTGGATACGTTTTCGTGGGGCCCATACCTGCTTCTAAGAAAGCAGCACCAAGCTGCGGAGGTATGTCCGAAAATGCAGTGAGAGCTCAGGGAAACCAGCCAACTCATAGCGCTGTTTCAGGAAATCCTGAGGTTCACCGACCACGAGCGGAAGGATGGCCACATCGTCACCGGATACGCGTCAACGCGGGAAGCGCCGAGGCGGAGAGACCTTCGAATGTGCAGTGTGCTGGAAGAAGTTCGGCCGAAGTGATACACTAAGAGAGCACGTTCGGACCCACACCGGGGAGAAGCCTTTCGAGTGCACAGTATGCAAGAAGAAGTTCACTGCAAGTGCAACTCTCAGAACGCATCTTCGGACCCACACCGGGGAGAAGCCTTTCGAGTGCGCAGTATGCACGAAGAAATTCGCTCAAACCACAGGTCTTAGAGTGCACCTCCGGACACACACCGGGGAGAAGTCTTTCGAGTGCACAGTATGCAACAAGAAGTTCACTCGAAGTGGAAGCCTTAGAGAGCACCTTCAGACACACACCGGGGAGAAGTCTTTCGAGTGCACAGTGTGCAACAAGAAGTTCGTTCAAAGTCGGGGCCTTAGAGAGCACCTTCAGACACACACCGGGGAGAAGTCTTTTGAGTGCACAATATGCACGAAGAAGTTCAGTTTCAGTAGTAATTTACGAAGGCACCTACGGATCCACACCGGAGAGAAGTCTTTCGAGTGCACAGTATGCAACAAGAAGTTCGTTCAAAGTGGAAGCCTTAGAGAGCACCTTCAGACACACACCGGGGAGAAGTCTTTCGAGTGCACAATATGCACGAAGAAGTTCAGTTTCAGTAGTAATTTACGAAGTCACCTACGGATCCACACCGGAGAGAAGTCTTTCGAGTGCACAGTATGCAAGACGAAGTTCGGTAGCAGTAGTTATTTAAGAGTGCACCTACGGATACACTCTGGAGAGAAGCCTTTCGAGTGCTCAGTATGCAAGAAGAAGTTCGGTGTCAGTAGTAATTTACGAAAGCACCTACGGATCCACACCGGAGAAAAGTCTTTCGAGTGCACAGTATGCAAGAAGAAGTTCGGTACCAGTAGTGAATTAAGAGTGCACCTTCGGACTCACACCGGCGAGAAGCCTTTCGAGTGCTCAGTATGCAAGAAGAAGTTCGTTCATAAAGGAAACCTCAGAAGGCACCTCCGGACCCACAGCGGGTAGAAACCTTTCGAGTTCACATTCACAGTATGCAAGATAAGCTCGGTAGCTGTGGACACTTCAAACAGCACCTTCGGACCCACTCCTGGTAGAAGCCTTCCAAATGCACTGTTTGTCAAAAGGCGTCCAGTCTTGTCAAGAATTTGCTTAGTTTTGGGTACAACTGTAATCTTTCCCGCATTTTCCGTTGTAAGCCATGTGTGCATGTCTAGCTGCTGCATTTGTAAACACCCCTTTGATTCTTGAGGGTGATAAGTCGAAAGCATCGCATAAGCTGTAAATTTCTGTGTTCATCAGTTTCTGTGTTGTGGATTTTTTTTGTTTGACACCATGACAGATTAAATTATCTTCTTATGGATTATTACTCGTGCAGTGTGTTTGTTTGAAAACTCTTAAACCGCACACCTAGCACCCCGTGGACCAGAAGCGAGGGGCAAAAACTCGCGCCATCACGTGTACACGGCCCCCGAAATTACACGCGAATCATTCAGAATCACGCAAAATCACGCGCAACATCACCCAGGCGTCGCGAGGCAGAATCAGTCATGAAATCAATTAAAATCATGCGCAATCGCACACCATCAGTCAGAATCACACACAATCACGCGCAATCAAGACAAATTTTTCAAATCAGACAATATCACGCAAATCATTCAAAATCATGTGAATCATTGCGTTTTTCGAGCATGTGTACAAGAAAATTCTGAGTTCTTGCCCCCTCTGCCAGAAGACTGGTGGTTCTGGCCACAATACTAGACAGCCGGAAACCGGCAACACGCGGGCAAACATAAATAATTCGTTCAATCTGGTATGCCTTAGGAGCATATTAATTCTTTTTTCATTTTTTATGTTCGCGTCGCTCGTTCGCTCGCGGTACTACACACAAAATCTATGTGTGTACTCAGTACACACTTTTAGGTGCGTGCTTACAAGCATGCACTTCGAGGTGTGTACTTGCCTAAGCACGCACCTACAAGTGTGTACTTGAATGAGTACACACTTTAAAGTGTGTACTCGGTGAGTACACACATAGAAGTGCATGCATTTCGATGCATTTTCCCTATGCCGCGTATGCACCTCGCAAGTGTGTACTCACTGAGTACACACTTTAAAGTGTGTACTCATTCCAGTACACACTTCTAGGTGCGTGCTTAGGCAAGTACACACCTCGAAGTGCATGCTTGTAAGCACGCACCTAGAAGGTGTACTGAGTACACACATAGATTTTGTGTGTAGCCAGGGGACGGCCTTCGGCCTCGATGCTGAGCTGGATTCTGCTGGAGGTGGAAATGCATTTTCATCAGTAGGGTAAGGTGCCCACACACAAAATCTATGTGTGTACTCAGTACACACTTCTAGGTGCGTGCTTACAAGCATGCACTTCTAGGTGTGTATTTGCCACCGAAGCGACGATCACCCTCAATAATTCTGGACGTCCCTAGTCCTTCGTTCCCCCCCCGAAGCCGACGTAGTCACTCGTCAGAAGTTTAGTCCTCCTCCCGAAAATAATACTAGTCACCACCAACCACTGTTACTGTTGTCTTGGAAGGTTGGCTACAAAAACTTTTGGATAGACAGTACAGTTTACTGTGAACCAACTGGATGACCTCAGAACGAGACGGCTGCCAAGGAAGCTACCCGGACCTGCAACGCTGGGGAAGTAAGGCCATTTAAACCCGTTTCCTATCGTTCCCCTCTGCATGCACTCTCAACAGCTTACGAAGCATTTGCTTCACAACTACAAAAAAAATGGAGGCATAGTAGAATTGCTTCGTATTATGAAGAAATGCTTCGTTTTGCGAAGGGTTTTGCTTCATAATACGAAGCATTTCTTCGTAGATTTTATAATGCCTTCATTTTTTCGTATTACGAAGCGATTCTTCAAAGATTTTTTACTGTGAGGGTACTGTTTTCGTCACGCTCCGCTCGACAGGGTGCCCCACTGAATCGCGCAACGTAGGATGATCACTGAGGCAGATCAGGTACTCCCAAGAAGCTCTGGCCGGAAGAAGAAGAACTGCCAGTTTTTCTCATAGAAACTGAAATTTTCTCACTCCGTTTTTGTTCTTCTTCCGGGCCAGTTGAAGTACTCTATTCTATGAAACAGCTCTTCCGCGTGCTAAGACCCCCCGGGTGCGCATGCACTTCCACAATCCCACTTAGCTTTTTCTTCGTATTTTCGTATTACGTTGTAACAGCTTTGTGTTAAAAACTACGGAGGGGGGGTTAGTAACCTATGCTGAAGAGTTCTCAGTTGGTTATGACCGATTTCTTCATGTTACGAACAAATTTTTCTTTATTACGACAGATTTGCGTCGTAAAGTACGGACAATAGGTTACTTTCGTAGATCCTGAACCGGAAGCAAACAGGCGCCATGTTGGCGGAAGTAGATAAAAACTTGACATGGGAAAGAGACGATAGTCAAATGTATCGGCCACACTTCAACTATAATGGGTATGATACTTCTTTGCAGTGCATTTGTGTCCCTCGGGCAATATTTGTACAGCCGGGTTTCCCTTTGGAGATCCCAAGAGAGGTTGGGTTTCCCGGCCAATATGGCGTCTGCTTGCTTCCGGTTCAGGATCCACGAAAGTACCCTATTAGCTCAGATTTATGACTGCATAGCATTTCAGTAGGTAATCCATTGGTGAGGACACACGTTCGATTCGATTGCCATTTAGCTACTCTGGAGGTCAATACGCGTCCGGTATTTTGACCCCCCCCCGGGCCCGGCGGGGACCGCTGCTGAGCAGTGCGTAGGATGCAATTCATCCTCTCATTGCGGGGAACATTGCGGGCCTTGGACTTATTTTTATACCTGGGTACACCTCTCTGCGCTGTCATGTGTGCTCGTCAAACATCCCCTGACCTTATCTCACGTGTGACTTGTTATGCCCACTGAGGTAACGCTATGCTGAGCCATCAGCGCTGAAAATTTACCTGTATTGTACTTTTTTTTTCCGTCCGACGAGGTCAGTAAGATACAAACACACTCAGCTCGTTGCTGACTTTTTCCTCATTATATACCCATTCGCTAGCAAGGTAAATGTCTATCATGTATTGAGTAAATTTTTGTGAATGCGCCAAGCTTTAACGTAGTTAATTTTTTTATTTACAAAATTTTTACGTTGAATTACGCATCAATTTAGAGTTGCTCTTTATTAAAAGTACGTATTATGTTTACACTAATTACTTGCGTAACTCAAATTGAGCAGAGGTCATTAAACCTGACAGTCATCCAAGGTAATTTTTGAAATAAGTAACAAATAATTTCTGATCTCGGGAGAACTCCGCTCTGACCCTTTACGCTTCTCTAAATTTGGCCTCTGTAAGGTCTGAAAGACGCAACACACTCAGCTCGTTACTGAGTTAGGGAAAAAGAAACCGCCGGAAGCCGCTAAAATTTGGCTGCTTTTGGGGAGGAATCTGCCATGGACTCGATTCAAGATACTCTCAGACTCGTACATAGAGTTTGGTGAAAAACCCTCCTCACTTTTGTGTGGATTAAAAAGGTTTAACATTTTAATTTTTTACATACATTCTGTAGGAGTCTGCACTGTTAAGAGAAGTCGTTATTTTACAATAGTAATCTAAAAATCTAAAAAATAATCCCGAACAGTGTGAGAGTGTAACCACATCAAGAGTCGAGTCTATAGGTTCGGCATGGGTGATTCCTCCAACAGCAGCAATTTGAGCGGTTTCCCTAACCGACAACAGCCTGCATGTCTCATAAGGGGGTGTGGAAAGGATTCCGTCAAGCACGCGCCATGTCGGACGTCAGTATAGAAGTCCTTTTTTTCCCCTCTTCATTCAAATACAAAAAAAAAATTTAAAAAACCCAATTCCAAAATTTTTAAAAAAAAGTTGTTATTTTTTAAGAGGAGAAAGTTCCTTACTGCTCATAGCAAAAATTTTTCAAATTCTGTTTCCCAAAAAATACACTCTAAATGTCTTACGAAAAAAAAATTTCCCATAATTACGAAGGAAATGGCGAAAAGCATAATACAAAGGGTAGTTTTTCTTCGTAATACGAAGGTTTTTCCGTATCTTACAATGAAAAGCAAAAAAGATTCGTATTACGAAGGAAATTGCTTCGTTTTATGCTTGCGCCGAATTCACTGTAACATACGAATAACATAGGTCAAATTTCATTGTAAGACATTTAGAGTGTAGTTTCTTAAATTTTTTTGCCTTGGCTACCATGTTAAAGGTCTTCTATCTTTCTGTCAACAGATCAGTGGATACGTTTTCGGGGGGGCCCATACCTGCTTCTAAGAAAGCAGCACCAAGCTGCGGAGGTATGTCCAAAAATGCAGTGAGGGCTCGGGGGAAAACCCAGCCAACTCATAGCGCTGTTTCAGGAAATCCTGAGGTTCACCGACCACGAGCGGAAGGATGGCCACATCGTCACCGGATACGCGTCAACGCGGGAAGCGCCGAGGCGGAGAGACCTTCGAATGTGCAGTGTGCTGGAAGAAGTTCGGCCGAAGTGATACACTAAGAGAGCACGTTCGGACCCAAAAGGGGAGAACCCTTTTCGAGTGCACAGTATGCAAGAAGAAGTTCACTGCAAGTGCAACTCTCAAACGCATCTTCGGACCCACACCGGGGAGAAGCCTTTCGAGTGCGCGGGATGCACGAAGAAATTCGAAAAAAACCACAGGTCTTAGAGTGCACCTCCGGACACACCCCGGGGAGAAGTCTTTCGAGTGCACAGTATGCAACAAGAAGTTCACTCGAAGTGGAAGCCTTAGAGAGCACCTTCAGACACACACCGGGGAGAAGTCTTTCGAGTGCACAGTGTGCAACAAGAAGTTCGTTCAAAGTGGGGGGCCTTAGAGAGCACCTTCAGACACACCCCGGGGAGAAGTTTTTTGAGTGCACAATATGCACGAAGAAGTTCAGTTTCAGTAGTAATTTAGAAGGCACCTACGGACCCACACGGAGAGAAGTCTTTCGAGTGCACAGTATGCAACAAGAAGTTCGTTCAAAGTGGAAGCCTTAGAGAGCACCTTCAGACACACCCGGGGAGAAGTCTTTCGAGTGCACAATATGCACGAAGAAGTTCATTTTCAGTAGTAATTTACGAAGTCACCTACGGATCCACCCGGAGAGAAGTCTTTCGAGTGCCCCAGTATGCAAGACGAAGTTCGGTAGCAGTAGTTATTTAAGAGTGCACCTACGGATACACTCTGGAGAGAAGCCTTTCGAGTGCTCAGTATGCAAGAAGAAGTTCGGTGTCAGTAGTAATTTACGAAAGCCCCTACGGATCCACACCGGAGAAAAGTCTTTCGAGTGCACAGTATGCAAGAAGAAGTTCGGTACCAGTAGTGAATTAAGAGTGCACCTTCGGACTCACACCG